CAGTACCACTGCTCTACCCATATGAGCAGCAAAAAAAACGTTTTTAGACCAAATATTACAGATTTGAACAAATTAGCACAGAAACAGTACTATATAACATTTTAGACACATTCTAGACAGTTTATCAGCTAAAAAAAGTTAACTTTGGGGTAAGTTACTCTTTAAGATGGCATCAATCCATTCTAGTCTTGGCTACATTTGATGTAGCCATTAGCAATCTGGTCCAAATTAAACTCTGAGCTGGAGTCATTCAGAACATTATCTACAACAGGTAGGATGTTAATTGTTCACACACTTTTCACATGACGCAAATATGACACCAGCTTGGATCATTAGATCCAGTTTGGATCAGTAGATACAAATTGGTGCCATAGTTGGTTAAAAGACAACTGTTCTTTGTTTTATTTGGACAAAACACCACATTTGTGTCTTCTATATTCCAGCATTACAGTGGTGCAGTCCTACTTCATCTACTGGGCTGGCATTGAGTCTGCAGTGGTGCATGATGGGAGTCGTACTGTTTGGAGCAGTGATGAAAACACAGCAGTGGATGGAGGAAGCACAATTTCTACAGTTCAAGAGAAAAGAGTCACTGCTCTGCCAAGTACAAAACACTGTTTTAAACTGCAAAAGGCTAAAACTTATTATTCTAACTACAATAACATAACTTTTCTTCATTTTTTTAACTCTAGGAGTCAACAATTCATCTGAAGAAGAAAAAAACTGGACACAAACCTTAAAACCAACCCACGGTGGATCTCAGACTCTCAACTCTTTCAAAACACAAGCAGAAGTTAATCAAACCACTTTAGGATCGGACAGCTCTTTGACTTTGGCAAACTATTCGAGTAAAACAAACACTATGACTCTAGGTGACACTCATATGACTCCTGACTCTCTCTCAGATGTGTCTAAAGAAACAACCCATGACCCTGAGTTTCCTCCAAAGACCTCCATTCCTCTGACAACCTCCATTCTCTCAGATGACCATAGAAAGATGGACCCAACAACCCGTCCATTTTCCCTGTCCAACCCTCCTTTTCCGTTCTTCCCTCAAAAGGGAAAATGGACACAGAGGGATGATCCAAAGACTGAATCCCAAAAACCAAAAGTGAAAACCAAATCAGAAACAAAAACGCTTGGAACTTCTACAGCTGCACCATCGATTGGTCAGACAATCCAACTTTCAAAGACCCTACCTGAAAATCAAACAGGGTCGATTCAGGAGGAAATAAGTTCAACRTTTGAGACTCGGAGGATGTTAGAAAATATCCTGAGTTTGTCACAAACAAGTAAAGTCAAAACAGACACTGGTTTATTGTTCCAAACTTCTACAACCAAACTAAACCTCTTATTTCAAACTGACACAAGCTGGATCACTTCCCCTTCCAAGACTCCAACCACATCCGCAAAGACTCAAACCACACCCCCAAAGATTCCAACCTCATCCCCAAAGACTCAGACCACATCCCCAAAGACTCTGACCACACTCCCAAAGACTATAACCACATCTCCAAACACTCGGACCATATCCCCAAACACTCAGACCACATCCACAAGGACTCAGACCACATCGCCAAAGACTCAAACCACATCCCCAAAGACTCCGACCGCATCCCCAAAGACTACAACGACATCTCCAAACACTCGGACCATATCCCCAAACACTCAGACCACATCCACAAGGACTCAGACCACATTGTCAAAGACTCAAACCACATCCCCTAAGACTCCGACCACATCCCCAAAGACTACAACCACATCCCTAAAGACTACAGCCACATCTCCAAACACTCAGACCACATCCCCAAAGACTCAAACCACATCCCTAAATACTCGGACCACATGCCCTAAGACTCAAACCACATCCCCAAAGACTCAAACCACATCCCCAAAGACTCAAACCACATCCTCAAAGACTCCAACAACATCCCCAAAGACTCCAACCACATCCCAAAAGATTCCAATCACATCCCTAAAGACTCCGACCACATCCCCAAAGACTCAGACCACATCCCCAAAGACTTTGACCACATCCCAAAAGATTCCAATCACATCCCCAAAGACTCTGACCACATCCCCAAAGTCTGCTTTTCCATCCAAATCTTCAACATTTGGACATTTTCAAGTTCCACCCATAACTCAGGTCATCTCTTCACCAGGATCAAGTCCATCAGAACTTAAAAATATCAAACTAACTGTCTTGCCAGTGAATTCTATGTCCCCAAGCGTCTTTTCTCAATCACTGTCTCTAAGCAGCTTTTACCAAACCTCGTCAGAAACTCAGTCCCAAACGAGTTCAGTCAAAGCACAAACTGTTTTTTTGTCTCAAACTTCTTCATCTGAACCAAATCTGATATTCCAAACTCAAACGAGTCATATTTCTTTACTTCTCGAGATGTTTACCCCCAAGACACAAACATTATCAAAGTCAGTTCCTCCATCCAAATATCCAACTCTTAAGTCCTTCAGAGTTACGCCCATTACTCAGACCAACCATCTACCAGGAACAAGTCCACCTGGACCCAAAAGTACCCCAAAGCAAACCGTATCACCTCAAACAACTATGTCCCTGAGAAATCCCTTTCAGCGTCAATCTGGTGTTAGTTTTCACCAAGTTCAGACAGAAACTGTCCAAACTCAACCTGGTCTTCTACAGAGAGCCCAGTCCCAATCTGAGGTACCAGAAGAGACTTTAAGGATCTCTCCCCAACCTCAGTCCCAGACAATTTTCCAAACAGGACAAACCTTATCTCCACAACCCGTCAAGCCTCAATACTTCACACTGGAAAAAGATCTTGAGTCCGTGACCATGAGTCCAGTCTTTGTTTTTACTCCCTCGAGCAATTATTTAAGTCCAATTAGTTCCTCTTCATCCTTCCAGTCTTTAGATGGATCTTCTGGTCTTCACCCCAGTGATGCCTCTCCTTTACATTCAACATTCAGGTCAACAATCTCTGTCCCTTCCTCTTCCTCCTCTGAGAATCAACCCAGAACAACCCCAGTCTCCACATCTCATCTACCTTCTGCCCAGCGTTCTTCTACAGCCAATCAACCATCCTTCCTTACATCTCCCACCATTCCACCAAGCACGTCTAATTATCCTTCAAACTCTTCCTTTTCTTCAGCTACTGTATCTACATCTTCATTCTTTAACTCCTCTAAGTGTTTCACAAGTTCTAACTTTTCATCCTCTTCTACTTTTGCTGCAGCATCTCAAACGCTTTTCTCCTTGTCTTCATCACCACCAACTCCAACTTCTATTGCTTCTTCCCCTACTTTACCTCCACCTTCTGTCTCATTTACCACAACACCATCATCTTTTATCTCTTTAGCCACTCCTCATCCAGGACCTTCATCATCTCAATTTGTACAGACCTTGTTCACGACGCCTTCCAAGAAAACCAGTCCTCAACTGAACCTCGGCTCACTTGTTCATCCCAACCCCAAACCTTTTCCAAACCACAAACTCGATCATGGCCAAGAATTTAAACCAAACATTCCGAACACTGACACCAAACCCAAGAGACCATCAAGTCCCTCCAACACTCCGGACAGGGAGCGGAAGTACCCAGACATCAACCCCAGACACAGTTCCTGGGAGCTGGGCATGCTGTTGGGCTGTTCTGCTGGCCTGGGCATGGTTCTGGTGGTCGGGGTGAGGTACGTATACCGTCAGGCCTGTGGCTGGCGGACGCAGGTGACCCTGAATGACCAGGAGAGGGAGTACGGGAGAGGCTTGATTCAGGTCCAAGAGTGTGGAGATTTGGTCCGAGTCCGGAAGATCCGAGAGAACAGTTTTGTGCTTCTGACGGAGTACGATGTCCTGGCACCACCTGGAAACTAAAACACAGGTTTTTCTAAGACAACGGGAGAAAATAAATCCTGAATCCAGACGGACTTTTAACAGAGCAGCTAAATGATCAAAAATAAAAGATAAAAACAAAAACTGTTTGTCTGTTTTGGGAACAATTCTGGTGGTGAAGGATTTTTTTTTTACAGTTAATGTTTTGACTCAGCCTCTATCTGAATGTGGGGTTCTGTTTGTAGGAAAATAAGTCCAATGTGATTTTTTTAATGAAAGATTTCTTTAAAACTATTGTTTCTTTATTTCTTTAGTCAACATAAATCCATTGACAGTTCTACAGATTTTCATCCATGTCTTTTGTATATTTCAAAAATAAATTGGACTTGGCATATCCAAACTTCTAGAAATTGGCCTTTGTCTTTTTAAGAACCTGCTACCATTTCCGACATTCCCACTTCAGCCCGTCTTCACAACAATGCTTTGTGGGTGGGAGCTCGGCTGCAGACTGAACTCCAGAGAGGAGCTATGTACAAATAGGCGGAACTTTGTACCAGCATGACCAATGACCTCGCCACACTGGTCTGAGAGGAGAAAAGTTTGGAGTTGGGTTTTAAAATAAACTCCTGAAAATCCCACAGAGATCAATTAAACCCGTTAAAAATAATGTAAGAGTATTGACCGGCAAAACTAACACAGCAGGAGTGCAGGGTCGTGGTCTGAGAACCATCCCGGATCTGAGAACCGTTCTGGTGTCGAAGAAGATCCTGGTGGAGCTTCTAGTGGTCCTCTCTGTCCTCAGGACCACTAGAAGCTGTTCAGAACTGTGGTCAGATCAGACACCATGCCTGAGAAGCACAGAGATTGATATGGAGGAACCCGTTTGGGGGTCTTCCAGAGGTTTGAGACTGGGACTGAGGTCCACCTTCCAGCAGGATGAGCCTCAAACAGAAGCAGAACCGGTTCAAGGTCCTGGAAGGGTCCAAAGTCCAGACCCCGGTCCAGTTGAAAAGCACTGGTTGTATTTGTCGGACACAAGCAGAACCGAAGAACGGACAAAACTCCAGAGAATAGATGGACCCGAAGAGAATAATTCCTGCAAAGACTGCACTCTACCTCAGTCTAAAACATGTTTTTTTCCCCAATTTAAATAGAAAACAGGAAATGACTTTTTAATGAATAAATCTCAACATTTTTTAAGCAAACACAACAAAAGTGCCATCGTTGTGACAACTTCTTAAATGATTAAAGCAGAAAAAATCACATGTTTGGTATTTATTTGTCTTTGACCAGATTTGTGTGACAGAGGTGATAGAAGAATTAAGCCCTGCAGGAACCAACGCCTTGAAAAAACAGGTTTTGGAGACAACAGCTGCCAAAAAAACGCTTTGAAGATGTTCAGCAAGTCTAACTAGATTCAACAAATTACCCAATACTGTATAACTACTGTCAATATCCTCCTGTGATGAACCACATTACCTGCTCATACTGTACCTTTACTTAACAAAATAAAAGGTTTATATAACATACAGTGGTTTGCAAAAGTATTCATACCCCTTGAACTTTTCCATATTTTGTCACATTACAACCACAAACATAAATATATTTCACTGGAATTTAATG